TTTGAAACCAGCCAGGAAGAGCGGGGGGGATCACAGGGGAGTTTCAAAGATCGCAGTTTCCATGACTCTGGTTTTCTCAAAGCTGAGGAATAGGGGGGTGCTGAGGAGGGGGGCGAGGTGGAGGAGGACGAGGACAAATCTATGCATGAGCGGGTTAAGGAGGAGGGTATCCCAGGGAGATCTTGGGGGGTGCCTTGGTAGCTTTTAGAAATGGCGGTGTTGAGCTACCAGAGAGAATCCTTCCGTACTTTAGGCGTGCGTTGACAGTTTTTCATCTTCTGCGAGGCTTGCAGGGGTAACGTGTTGGTTTCGTGCAGCGCTGGTTGCGCTAACATTCGCGCATCGCGCAGGATGAGGATGAGGAGGGGGACGAGGAGGAGGAGGAGGAGGAGGAGGGGGGGGAGGCGGGAGGATGGAGGAAGGAGGGTGAGGATGAGGAGGAGGAGGAAGGGGGGGATGAGGAGGAGGCGGAGGAGGAGGAGGAGGAGGAGGCGGAGGAGATTTTATGTGAGCAGTTGCCCGAAAGCACGAGTGGCCCACTGGGACGAAAGTTTGGGAGGATGGGGACGCAGTCAGAAAAGCACGTCTAGGCGAGGGAAGTGAGGTGGAGGATGGAAGGATGCGGCACTCTGAGAAGGAGGCGAGGAGGCGGTCGAGGGAGAGGGAGGGAAGGGAGGAGGAGTGGATGATGGAAGGAGGAGGAGAGGCGGACAAGGAGATGATGATGGAATGAGGAAGGATGTGAGGAGAAAAAAGAGTAAAGGAGGAGGAGGAGAGTGACGAGAAGCGGCGGGCGACCAGACGTCTCAGGTGTACCGATTCGGTGCCGAATCTGTGCACCCGAGACGCCTCCTCCTCCTCATCCTCCTCATTCTCCTCCTCCTCCCCCTCCTGTTTCGAAAACTGGTTTCCCTCGCGCGTCTCCTCCTGCCGCACTTTCATTTCCTCCACCTCCTCCTCCATCTCTCCTCCATCTCTCCTCTTCCTCCTCCTCGTCCTCCTCCTCCTCCTCCTTCTCCTCCTCCTCCTCCTCCTCCTCATGCCCCTCATCTTCCTCCTTCTCCTCCTCCTCCTCCTCAACCTCCTCCACCTCCACCAGCTCATATTCCTCTTCCTCCTCCGCCTCCTCCTCTCACTCCTCCTCCCCTCCCTCTCCCCAAACCTACCTCCCCCTCCACCAACTCATATTCCTCCTCCTCCTCCTCCTGCCTCCTCCTCCTCCTCTCTCCTCCTCCTCTCTCCTCCGTCCTCCTTCCTCCTCCTCCTCCTCCTCCTCCTCCTCATCCTCGGCCTCTGCCACGAACAAGGCTCTGTCTCCTCCTCCTCCTCCTCGTCGTCGTCCTCCTCCTCCTCCTCCTGCTCCTGCTGCCCCTCCCTGTTCTCCTCCTCCTCCTCCTCCTCCTGCTCCTCTTGCTCCCCCTTGTCCTCTCCTGTTCTACTGCGCCTCCCCTGTCGCTGCGTTACCTACACCTGGCGACGACGGCCTCCTCCTCCTCCTCCTCCTCCTCCTCCTCGCCCTCCCCCTCCTAGGCTGGACTCGGAAGCTGGAAGGGGGGCCGCCTCGACCATCCGCGCCCGCGGGGTTTGGCGGACTTCCAGTGGAACCTCAACAAGAGCAGAGAGGTCCACCTCCTTCTTGATCGTTCCCTCATCCTCTCCGTCCCCCCGCTTCCTACCCCTCCCCCCTCTTGACCCTCCCCTCACATCCCCCGCCGTTTCCCGTGCCCGCCTGCTAACGATCATCTTCCTCCAGCAACAGGGTTCGCGTCGAAACGTTCCCCGTCTGGGCGGGCCCTGGAGGTCGGGAAACGTTGTTTGGCTTCAAGCGGGCCCTGGAGGTCGGGACCTTTTTGTTTTACAGCGCTTGCTGTTATCAGCTGTTTCCCTTCTGCCCGCGGGACGCTCCCGGCACTTCCTTGCTGTCCTCCGACCCCCCTTCCGCGGTCTCGGACGCGCGGGGCGAGTTGGAGGCCGAGGATCCCGAGCGCGCCCGCAAGTTGCGCCAGGAGTACGTATCCACGGGCAACTTCGCAGGCTTCGAGTCGGTGATTCGCCCGCTGGCCCGCGAGAAGACGGAGCAGGGGGAGACGCGCGACATGGAGCTCAGCCACGACTGGTTCGCTCGCACTCTCAGGGGCTCGGGCGTGACGACCGAGGATGCCGAGAGGTGCTGGCAGAACAAGGTAGCGCTTGCGTCTCTTTCGCCGTCGTCGCCCCCAGTCGAGGAGGAGGAGGAGGAGGAGGGGGGGCAGGAGGAGGAGGAGGAGAAGGGGGGGGAGGGGGGAGAGGATGGGAAGGGGGGGAGGAGGAGGAAAAGAAGACGAAGGAAGAGGATGATGAGGAAGATGAGGACGAGGAGAAGGAGGAGGAGGGGCAGGAGCAGGAGGAGGAGGAGGAGAAGGAGGAGGAGGAGGGTGAGGAGAAGAAATGAGTTGTTCTGCCTCCCTCGTAATTTCACACTCCCCCCTGTCCCTACAAGGTTTATTATGTGAGCTGGTCCCCTTCCCCATCCCCGCTTCCTTTGTGTCCTTCCCGTCGTTCCCTCCCGTCCGCCCGCCTCCCGTCCTGCGCCTTACCTGGTTTAGTTCGCAACGTCTTGTTTCTGCTATCGTCCCCTCTTCCTTCCTCCCATCCTCATCCTCTGCGGGCAGCTTCGCCGCCGTCTCCCCGTTTCAGCCTCCCCCCGCGCCCCCATCTTCCATCCTCTCCTCATCGCGCCCCCCTCCGCGCCTCCGCCCCACCGTGCCGAGGTCGACGAGTTCGGCAACAGTCTGCGGGAGGTGCGCAGCGGCGGCCAGAAGTGCCTCGTGTTGGAGGGCTTGCGCAGCAGGGCGTCCATCGACAGCCTCCGCGTGACGACGACTGGCGCAGGGCGGTCCAGGCCCGTCGATTCCGCTGAGGCCCAGGCAGTCTTCGGCACGCGGCTCCGCGGTGACTTTCGGTCTGCGCTCGGCGGGGCCGACGCGGGCAGGGCCAGCGCCCGCGGCCGCTCGCGCGAGAGGCGCGCGACTTCGCCGCCCCGCCGCAGCCGCAGCGGCCGCCGCAGCCGACCGTCGCCGCTTGGCGGGCCCCGCAGCTCGTCGGGAGGTGCGCGCACGCGTCGCCCGCCGAGCGCGTCGCCGCCCGCGGTTTCTTCTTGCCGCGGCTCCGATGGTTCGGAGTCCCCGCCGCCAGGATCCGACGCCGAGGGCGTCGACATCACCCCTCCCCAGCCGCCGAGGGCTTCGTCTCGCGCGGGCGGCGCGAGCGTCTCCCGCTCGTCCAGGGCTGGCGGTGGGTCGTCCAGGGGGGCAGCGGCAGCGCTCGCCCGCGAGGAGGCCGCCCATGCGTCTCTCGACCAGCTGGTGCGCAGCCAGGAGGAGCGCCTCGCGAGCCTCCCCGACCACTTCGAGGAGACAGTCGACATGTGGAACGCCCAGGATTGGATCGCAGAGTACATTGACAACGTGCTCTCTTCCGAACAGGCTCCGCAACGGGCACCGATTCGATCTTGGGCTGGCTGGCGAGGAACGAATGGCGGCTCACATGGCTGACCTCGCGCGTGTCTCGGTTGCGCGCCCAGGCCCTCATGGGCTCGGTTGCCGCGCTTCCGTCTCGGAGGTCCCTGGGTCGACGTTGAAACCGTGCCAGCGGCTTCCAAACCTACTTCCCACTCGGGGGCTCATGTAGCTGCTCTGGACTCAGTGCGGCTGCGTGGACTTGCCTGGGGAAGCGGGCTTGGACGTCTAGGAGGCCCGCTGCCGTTCCTGGGCCAAGTCGTGCCGTGATGGGGTCGGCGAGATCGCCAGTGAGCGCCCGCTGCTCGCAGGCGGACAACGTCGGCGTGATCGAGTGGCTGAAGCTGCAAATCAAAGAGGCCGGGCAGGAGGAGCCTCGGGTGCAACTCCCCCCTCTGCTCCTCCTCCTGCGCCCCCTTTCTTCCTCGTCCTCCTCCTGCTGCTGCTGCTGCTGCTGCTGCCGCTGCTGCTCCTCCTCCTCCTCCTCGCCCTCCTCCTCTTCCTTCTCCTCATCCTCTTCCCTTATCATCGTCTTTCTTCTCCTCCTCCTTCTCCTCCTCCTCATCTCCTCCGCCTGATGTGCTCTTTTCTCGTGCCTTTCTGACTGCGGAGGCCTTGCGGCAGGCGCCGCCGACCCAAACGACGATGCTGATGATGCTGATGAGGAGGAGGAGGAAGAGGAGGAATAGGAGAAGGATGCTGAGCTTTGGGAGGAGGAGGCAGAGGAGGAGGAGGAAGAGCAGGAAGACGAAGAAAGGGAAGAGGAGGAAGGCGACGAGACGACACGTCAAAGAGATCGGACAGGAGGAGGAGGAGGAGGGGGAGGGACGCCCGTCAGTTGTTGCGCCCTCTTTTTGCTGCTGCGGATGCTGCTGCAGATCGGCTGGCCCATCCGCCTGAAGGAACGCGCGGCGCGTTTGAAGCTCCCCGACTGCTTGGCGCGGTTGGAGAAGGCCAGGGACGCGTTGGTCCGCATCAAGGATGCTTCCGACTCGTGGGAGGACGGCTTGGACTTCGGCAAGGAGAGGGAGGCCATCTTGAAGCGCGTCCACGAGTGGCGCGAGGAGGTGGGCCGCTTCCGTCGGCACGAGACTGGGCTGCAGGCTGGCGCGGGCCACAACTTAATGAGGGATGGCGCGGCCCCACCCCCTCCAGCTGCCCATCCATGTAGTGTTCTCGTCGTTCGCCCTTACTTTTCGCGTCAAGGGCGCGGTCGCCTTGCCGTCCTTCGGAGGCCTCCTCTTCTCTCCTTCCTCAACCCTCCCTCATCCCCTCATCCTCCTCCTCCCATTGGTCCCCGCTCCTTCGTCTCCTCAACCTCGCCCTCTTTCTTGGCCTTCCATCCCTTTCCGCCTCCTCTGCCTCCTCCTGATGTTTCTCTCATCGCTCCTCCTCTCCCTCCTCTTCCTTATGCCGCCCTCCTCTCCTCCCACTCCGCACTCTGGGTCCGCGGGGGCGGGGGGCGGGGGCTGCGGCCACTCCCTTGCCAGCTTCCCGCATCAGGCGGTCCTCGCCAAGAAAGGCGTTGAGAAGAACAAGGTTGCGCGGGAGTGGCGCTTCGTCCGCGACAAGACCCGCGGTTTCCTGTCCAACAAGAAGTTGCCAGACTCCGTGGCCATGCTTGCGGCGAATTGGCTTACCCAGCTCGGGATGCCCGTGTCCGAGTACGGCATCACCGTGGACTATTCGTTGGTGCCGCCGCACGATGCCAGCGGACTGACGTTCGCCTCTTTCACATAGCCATTCGTGGTCCTCAAGCCGCAGACGGTGCCGGAGAAGGATCAGGACCAATTCCAGCGCTGGTTCGCGGACATCTACAACAACCACCAGAAGGATGCAACTTCCAAGATGTGCGAGGTTCGTGATTTCATGAAGACGCACGGGATGGGTTCAAGCTGGGGGGCTGTGCAGTTCACGCCGCATTTCTCCTTCGATGTCAGCGACGCTGAGGGCCAATCGCAGACCACGGAGCCGATGAAGGATCTTCGCATGGCGGTCTATTGCCGAAGCACAGGCGAGTGGCAGAGCAACGTGCAGTCATTCCCGTGGGGTCAGGCGCCCATCTGGATGCAACAGTTCGTGGGCATCTCGTTTGTCGCAGTCGCTGATCCTGCCTGGGTTGCCGAGCATGTAGATTTCAATGGTTACGTGGAGACGGCCGACTCGGGTGCTCTCTACAAGGTCCCGACTTGTATTCTTCGTGAGGGCAGCGCTCTGTACGTGCCAATGGGGTACGTCCCCTTCCTGGTGCCCACCCCGCCGAACGTGAACTGGGACTCGAAGCAGCCGAGCCTCAAGGATACTGCGAAGGCAACCGCTGAGGTCAAGCACTGCGCTTGCTTCGGCGTGTCCTTGTTCTTAGAGGACGGCGTCCTCGAGAAGACTTCGCCGCAGGCGCGCGCCGCTGCGTCTGCAGCGTGGGCCCAGACGAAAAACTCGCAGCTCCCCGAGAGCATTCGCACGAACCCCGAGGTCAGCAAGTGGTTCGAGAAGTGCGGCGAGGGCCTGCGCGACGAGACTAGCAAGGACTTCGACTAGATGTTGTTGGCGTGCCGACGGGGCTCCATAGTGCCATCGGGGGTCGATGGCAGACCGAGTCCTCAGTGCGAGCGCTCTTGAACTTGGCCTGCAGGGTGATGGGGCGTCTTGCTTGGCTACGTCGTGGGCGCGCTGGTTGGCCAGTCAGTCGAATGCTGGCCTTGCGCGAGCAGTCGCCCGCTGCCACCGTGGGTAGCGCTGAGGGCCGCCGCCCCGAGCTTCAGCGGTGAGGCCGCGCATCTCGGCCTCGGGCGGCGCCGCTCCTTTTCGCACCTTGGGGGGGACAGAGCCCGACGATGACGAACGGGACGAATGCGAGATGGCCACGAGACCAAGGAGGAGGACGAGGAGGCGGGGAGGGCGACTAGGAGGATGAGAGCTAGCATCTAAGAGGATTCGTCCACCGTGCCACCCCTGGGTGCCTCGCTCCGTCGGCGCGCCGTTGGAGGCTTTGCCATCGAAGTTGCTGGCTCGCCCTGCCCGCCGCCGCCAGCCTGGCGGCCGACGTTTCGCATCCGCACTCCCCGCGAGAGAATTGGCGTTCCCTCAGGCGGTCGTCGACCCACCTCGTGTGCCCCAGCACTTTTGGATCTCATGCCACCCTATGTTTCTCGGGAGCGCGCCATCCTGAAGGCCATGATCTTCCCGACCTTGTCCGTCCCCTCCTTTCTTGTCGCGGGTCTTCCTAACGTATCTATATGTTACCCTGCGCTTGTGCCTCCCACCTCCTTCTCCTCACTCTACTCTCCCCCCGCGACCTCGCCCGTGATTCTCATGGCCTCCCCGTGCCCCCCCCCGATCCTCTCCGTCTTCACCCTCGGCGTCGTTTCGCAAGTTTGGCTCAAATTTGCCATTGTTGTTGTGATCTTCGGATTGCTCCGACGCGGCCTCTATTCTGAGAGTCGGCAGTGGCCTTGCTCACTGCGCCCGACCTGGTGCGATTTGCATTCGCTCGCACGTCGGGTGGCCTGGCGTAGCGGGGGCGCGTGCCGTCGCATTCGCGACGTTTCGGGCATCGGTTGGCCGCTGTTCGATTTGATGGCCCCGTGGCGCCTTACGGCGTCGTGACGCAAGCGTGCGTTAACGATCGGCGCGTCAGCGCGCTCGCGCCAGGTCGGCGCTGGCTTCAGCAGACTTCGCGGTTGGCGTTCGTGCCGACGCTCCGTGGGGGGCGTTCGCATGCGTCGTCAATCATGGTTGTTGTTGTTTCCATCGTGCGGTGGGGCTGTGGCGCGCGGTTATACTCGCGCGCCGCGTTTCTGGCGGGGACACTCGCACGCGGGTTTCGCGCGCGATTTCAATCAGTTCGGCTCGTTCGGATGCCATGCTAGGTTTTCAGTCGGCGCCGAAACAAGTTCTGAACTTTCGCGCGCCATCGGTCGCCGTTGTGGCTGACTTGGCGCCGCGCCAGCTGGTGGATACAGCAGTGCTTGGCATTTTGTGAGTGGCCAAATTTTTACGATTTGGTCAGAAGCGGCGCGCGCGTCGCGACAAACGCCCTGGTTGATGCGCTGCCCTCGGGCGGCCTTCGCGCGAGATCCATTCCAGCTGGTTAGGCCATCTCAGCCCTCTCAGCCAGGCCTTTTACATCTCCGATTGGCGGCAAAGGCGCGCAGGCGCCGAGGACCGCGAGGAGGCAGGGGGCAGCGGAGAGGGCGAGGGCGGCAGCGACGGTGAGGACGGGGACGACTGGATCCCTGTCGGCGCCGACGGCTTGGAGGCTGCAGTCGAGGGTGCCATCGACTCTGCGATCGGCATCGTCTTCGGTGACGACGAGCCTCCATTGCCGCCGCCCGCGGGCCATCCGCCGCCCGCCCTGCCAGCTGCGGTCGGAGATGGCGCCCCTCCACCGCCTGAACCAGTTGAGCCTGCGCTGGTGCCGAGGGGCGTCGGCAAGCTTCCAGCGGAGCTGGCCTGGCGCTACAAGAGTGGTGTCATCAGGTATTACGGCACCACGAAGGCGATGGTGGCGCACTGCCTCGTGCCGTCGCACATGGAAGGGCCAGGCTGTTACCTCACGCGGTCGGTGAGGCCCAGTCCTGCCAGCAAGGCAAAGGGCCGTTGCCTTGGCTTGCTCTGCAGTTGGCTGGAGGTCACAGAGGCGACTGGCCTCACGCGCTGGGACCACGTTCACGCCTGGAAACCATCCTGGGAGGATCGGCGGCGTGCGAGGCAAGAGGCGATGGGCCTTGGCTTGATTTGGTTGCGCATTCGCCTCAAGGAACGTGGTGGAATGGTGCGTGACGAGGATGGCGAGCCCTTGGGACAAGCGTGATTGGTGCCCAGGTGGAGGCGGGCAAGTTTTGAAATATAAAAAAATACCTCTAAAATAATTATAAATAATAATTAACTTATAATTTAATAAAAAGATATACTAGTAGTTAAAATTCAAAATAAAACATAATATTAATATAAAAGAAATAAAAATATATGATTTGTAATATATAAGTTAAAAGAATGAAAAAGAAAAAAGTATAACAATATTAAAACTAAATCAAAAAAATTAAAAAACAAAGAAATTTATAATAATAATAGATAAATAACATTTTAAAATAAAAATTAATATAAATCTATATGATAATAATTTATGATTTAAAACTTATAAAATAAATATAAAACAATAATAAAAAATCGACCAAGTTGGGCTCGTCTCCGCCTTGGTCCAAGTAGACACATGTGCGAACCAAGATGGCAACAGTGGCGGGAAGGAGAGGGGGGAGGTCAACCTGCGGCTGATCCCAGGGGAGGTCGATGCCCCAAAAAAGTTCCCCCCCCCCCAACCGAGACTTCCAGGGCAATCCCAGGGGCCGTCCGTTCGAGACCTCAGGGTTTTCTCAGGGGTCTGCCCCAAACTAGCTCACGCATCGTCCCTAGTTTGACCTCCCAGCCTTCTCCTCCCTAAGGCTAATGATGGTTATTGCATCCGGTTGTTTTCACACGCCCTTCGGCAACTTCCGATGACCCTATGCGGCTTTGCCTGTAGCGCCGCCGACCCATATGAGGAAACCGAAGCCGACTCCGAGCTGATGGCACTGCCGAAGGTTCGGGGCATTCTGCGGGGTGAAGGGGAACGACGCGCGAGGTGGACGCAGAGGGGCACGAGGGCGAGGAGTGGTCGACATTGGGGAGGTGGATGGGTGAAGGGGGGAGGGGGAGGGAGGACGACGAACGAGAAGAGGGGCGACGCTGAGGACGATTGCGGGGTTTGGGAAGGAGAGGTGGCGGAGAAGGAGGAAGATGGGGGCGCGGGGGGGAAGAGGGTGAGGAGGGGGGCATCATGGTCAGGATGGGGGGCGATGTGCCATGTGGAAGGGAGAAGAAGGGGGCGCGGTGCCGGGTTTTGCGGCGGTGCTTCTTGGGCGCCCGTTGGGGTCTCGTGGCGCCGATGGGGCACGGGTGGGTAAAGGTGAGAGGGTGAGGGGAAGAGTGGCTTTCAAGGCGTAGCGGGTGCTTGCGTGAGGCCCCCTCGGTGCAACGCGTAGCGCTCAATGTCTCTCGTGGCCTCGGCGGGACCAGTCAGGGCCTCCACGGGTATCTTGGGGGAGCCGTGGTGACTGCTCTGGCTCTTGGTGGCCTCTCGGCGCTTCCTGGGGGAAAGCCCAATGGCGTTTCTCGGCGGCGGTCGTCGGTTCAAGGCCACGTCATGGCGCCACCAGTTGGGGCTCTGGGTGTTTCTTGGGCCAATCTTGGGTGTGTCTGCGCCGTGTCGGCGCCATCCTTGCCAGCAGTGGATGGGGGGCGCAGGCAGCGCGGCTGCTGGGGGTGGTGGTGGTGGTTTGTGTGGGGGGGGGGGGATCTATTGTGGATGCGCATGCCGCGGCGCGCGCGACATCGCTGCCGCGCGCCGTCGCGCTGCCAGCGCGGCAACGCGGCGCGCTCAGCTAGCGGCGCGCGCGCAGCGTGGCGCATGCCGACGCAGGTGCGTTCGTCGGCGCGGCGGCCGGCGCTGGCGCCGCGACCCATCCTGATCAAGGGCAACGTGGATTGCGCGCCAGGGAAGAAGGGGGCCCCCACGACGACAACGACGACGGACGGCGAACGAAACCCGCGCCACCGTCGCACCGCAGCGCCGCGGCTCGCCCCGTGTGCAAGCAGCGCGGAGTGCACCCGCAGCGCGCATGGCGCACCACGGCTGGCGTTGATCACGCGTCGCGCTTAACAGTCGCATGCTGCGCGTTCCACGCCACCGACTGTCGGCCCCGATGTCGGCTTTCAGCGGGGGCGTTGTTTTCTCGGGCAAGGCCGCCGTTCACGGCACGGCGTCGCGCGCGACGTGGGCGATCGCGCTTTATATCGGCGCTGCAGTATGAGACATGGCCGCGCGTTAAGGCGCGACAGCTTCGACGGCGCGGGAGGGCGTTCAACGGCGCGGCGGTTTTGTGCGGCATCGCGTTGCCGCGACCGACGGTCGCCGTCATCGCGTTCTGCGGCAGGCAGCCGTCCCGCCGTCGTTGCAACCGCAGCCGTCGCTGAGCGCCGTCGGTGCAGCGGCCGCCATCGCGCGGCTTCGCCAGAATGCAGCGACTCAGCTCGACTGCGGAATTCCCGCCGCTGCAGGAGTGCCCGAGGCGCCCGAAGGCTGGCAAACTTAATGCGGTCTGCGGGCACGCGCGAACGTTGTACCGTAACAGGCCTCTTCGCAACAACAACGAAGATATTCAAGAGTTGACTGTGGGGCGACCCCCCGACCGCAAGTATTGTCCGCCGCGTGCAAGCCGCGCCCTGCGTCGATCGACCTCCCCTCCGTAGCCAATCACCCGCCGCGCCCGCGCCGCGCCGCTGCCAACTTTGGAGCGACGCCGCCGCGGAAGCATTGCGCCCTCTCCCGAGCGGCGGCCCCTGGCGGCTGCGGCGGGCCACCGTGGCCACCACCGCTGCCAGGCGGCCGATGGAACACTTGGTCGAGGAGCTTATGTGCTGCGCGGCGCAGCGCAGCCGCCGCCAGTTGCTTGGGGCGTTGCAGCGGGGGCCGCGGCGGCGCAGTTGAC